CGTTAGTTATAAAATGTGTATTTTGCACTAGTGGACATTATTTGATACGAATTTGTTTACCAAATTAGAAAGTTAAATAAGTGAAGCTTTAATTTAGTGACTTCCATTTTGGACATTGTTTTAGGACGGAGGGAGTATGTAAGAAGCCTAAGAACAAGGTTGGTAAATTTTTAGAATGACTACATAATTGTAGCTGGATCTTTTAGGTTTCTATGTCACATTATCTAACTTTTTACTTGTTACTAAATTAATCGTATTATTTAGTCATTAATTATATTATTTTTGCTAAGATTAATAGCGGACGTATAAAGTTGAATAAGTCCATATTAAGAAAAAAAATGTTTTCTTTTGTTACAAGAGGAAGGGATGTAGACAAATACGAAGTACTCCGTAATACATTTACAATATGTTTGAGATACTACATCTGTTGTCATTTAGTTACTTGCATTGGCTTTTCATGGAGCAAATAATAAAAATATACGAGTATTATATAACTAATACTATGTATAAGAAAATAGATTAAATTGAAGTGTGAAAAGAAGAAGATGAAAAGTAAAAATCGAAAAAAGGAAAGTGTACATGAAAAATACAACGGACCTTACTAAAAATGAAAATGATTCAAATAGAAACGGTATAGACCAATTTTACCCGAAATATGACTAAAACAGTTTGAAAATTCCAAAATAGGACTGTCATGTTTTTATTTCCAAAATAGGACTAATTACTGCCATGTTTTGGCAGTATCGGACTTCAAACATGACAGTATTTTCTAAACATGGCAGTAATTAGTCCTATTTTGGGAATACAAAACATGACAATCCTATTTTGGAATTTTCAAACTGTTTTAGTCATATTTCAAAAACTTTCCCTTTTTTAAATGTTGAATTAAGCGGTAGATATACTCCGTACGGAGTGTGTATACCGTGCAACCGGTGCATGGTGAGCACCATGCACCCATTGGGTATTATTTTTTCTCTTTTTTAAAAAAATGGTGATAACTTTTTATTTTTGATCCGATTTTTATAAAATTTATATCAACATTTTTTATTTTTCATGATCTTTCAAATGAGACCAATATTGCCTATGTAATTTTAACATATTATCGAACTATTATATCAACCTATGTAAAATATGTAATTTTATGTGTAGAAATATGTAACTCACGTCCAGTCAGGCCAAATGCAACTCGTGTGTATAAATATGTAACTCCACGTGTAAAAATATGTAACTTTACGTGTAAAAATATGTAACTCGCGTTCAGACAGGTCAAATACAACTCGTGTGTATAAATATGTAACTCACGTGTATAAATATGTAACTTTACGTGTAAAAATATGTAACTCGTGTTCAGACAGGTCAAATACAACTCGTGTGTATAAATATGTAACTCGCGTGTATAAATATGTAACTTTGTGTGTAAAAATATGTAACTTTACATGTAAAAATATGTAACTCGCGTGTATAAATATGTAACTTTACGTGTAAAACTATGTAACTTTACGTGTAAAATATGTAACTCGTGTTTAGGCGGGTCAAATGCAACTCGTGTGTATAAATATGTAACGTAACTTTACGTGTACAAATATGTAACTTTACATATAAAAACATGTAACTCACATGTATAAATACGTAATAAAATAAATTTTTTATATACACAATTTTAAGATAAATTGTGATTTACACAATTATTTTTATGTATTAAATTTTGTTTGATTTTCCTTATAATCCAATACTCATTAATATAATAGTTCGATAATTTATTAAAATTACATAAGCAATATTGGTCTCATTTGAAAGATTATAAAAAATAAAAAATGTTGATATAAATTTTATAAAAATCGGATCAAAAATAAAAAAGTTATTAGCATTTTTTAAAAACAAAAGAAAAAAATAAAGAACACCGTATACCGGTCATAATTTGCCCTCAGTACGTATGCTGGTTTGATTTAGTACGTGTTTGCTTATTTTCATCATCTCACATTTTTAAACAACTTTATCTTGATTAAGCTGGTTTTTTAGGTGGATTAAGAGCATGTTTGGTGACCCCTTTTTTTGGTTATCAATCTTATGGGTCATCAAACAGCTGGTTTTTTTGGTTATTTAGTACGTATCAAGCTTATCAATCAGCTTTTTCATCAAACATGTAACTTTTGATTTCGCGCTCTGAATTGTGTAATAAACAGAAAAAGTAAGGTTGAAGTTACTTTTCTGGCTGTATTGGCTGAAGTTACCGTAGAAGATCATTTTAACTATTTTTTCATATAGTTTTTTATTTTATTTATTAATAACAAATATTTTAAATATAATTTTTTCAAAAATCAGCTGAATCAGCCAATACAATCACTTCAGCCAGAACTTTATAAATTTCAGCTGAATCAGCCAATTCAACCAATTGTAGTGTTTCCTAACGAGCTCTAAATATACAGCTTATTTAACCATCTCACAGAACCTATTAAGTGCGATAAAAAACTCTTTGGGAAAATTCTTTCCACTAGCTAGGAACATATTTACTTAAATTGGTAAGGTAGCTGTAAGTCTTATTACAGAGAAGAAAGATTGAGGACCCACTCCTGATCCAAGTGTATTTATTAAAATCATGTGAAGTTTGTGTTTAAATTGTACTTTGGGAGTGGGGAAACAAGAAGGGGAGACAGCTTGTATCCACATGCCATGTGATCCCATACTTCTAAGCTTCATTTTACGCATGCAGAAAGTAGTGCAGCCGTGCAGGATTTTTGACACTGCATTAAAACCCCATTTTTGTATCACCCAGATCAAAAAAATAGAAGAAAAAATAGGTCCAAAATTTTTTCTTTATGTATACTCCGTGAGTAGACTTCTTTTTTTATTTTTAAGTTCAAATAATAAAGCTCAATGTTTAATTTTGTTGACAATTTGAAAATTTGCTTCATTCTACGAGAAACGTTTTTAAGTAATGTTTTTTTTTCCTTTTATTCGATACTCGCGTTATAACTTTTGCCCAAATATGTAATTTAAATAATAACAAATTGATTCTCACCTTTATTGTATGAACTTCATTGTATACTTTCAGACACCGTATGATTCATATTTCAAATAAGTGTATGATTTATGATTTGTCTTGGATATAAGCCCAAAATAACTTATCGCCTATAGGCCCAGAAATGGAGAGGGTCGGCCCTGATCAGATAGTCTTACTTGTTTTCCACATCGTCTTGAAATAATTCTCATTTATGATTTGTTAATCTTTTTTGAGTTATATAAAAAAGATCTGATTTCCGATTTAGTGATTTTCACTTATGTGGTATGCATAGGGAATGATGGATCATTGGAACTCAAAATATAATATTGGAGAGATTATGAGCTAGAGAGGTGAAGGAGATGATGATTATTATTTGTATAATTGTATACGTGTTGAGTATGAGTTAGGAATTATGTTTAAAAGAGGCTCCCAACTCCCTAGGGGAGTATATATAGAGAAAGAGTTGGTTGGCCGCTAATACGGGACCGTTGGTCCAACTACGTAAAAAGCTATCCAGACCCAATAATAATGAGATCGATGATCCAAGTCTATATACTCTATCACGATGTATAATATAAATCTCAATTCCAATGTTATTTTTACAGTTTCATTAGTCCAAACTTCAAATTAGGGCATTACTTTATCAAACTCTACTGACCCCAAATCACGAATTTGGCTCGGTTTCGAAATAGTATATACTCCGTGTATACCCCTATAGATATTTCATTGGGAGTTGGACTTTGTAGTCAATTTTTTGGATGATATTGGGTTTTCCACTATATTTTAGAAACAATAATGTGTGCTTCTTGTTTAGCATAAAATTATTTGACACTGAACCTTCATTCCTTCACAATTTTTGGGCTAATAAGTGAAATCCAATATCACCTAAAAAAGAGGTGCAAAGTCAATCAGCTCTAGGGCATGAGTTTAGCTTATGATCAATAAATTGTTCATGCTCAAATAATTTGACAAGTGCCTGATTCATCAATGATCAAATTTAAAGTTGCAAAGTTATGCTAAAGACACTTCATTCGTCCCAAATTGTTTTGCAAAGTCAACATTTTTTTTCAATCAATAAAAAAAGTCAATGCTCCCTATCGATAATTAATTCCATTTTTAATAATTAAAATTTATATATTCAGAAAATATATTAATATCTCTTCAAAGTTGTAAATTCCAAATTAGAATATTATTAAAAATTGACATCCTAATTAAGCAAATAAAATGAAACTGTTTGACCAAGAAAAGTCAAATTTGCAAATCAATTTGGGACGGAGGTAGTACATTTATAATAATGTGAATTACATTTCCGTTCACGGGATTTGCATCACATAGCATAATCCTGATATTAAAACAAAATCATATTCATTGTCCATGCGCGTTTTTTATAACTAAAACTTAAATTTGAACTACGCCATTTTAGGTTTAACTGTGTAATAGTCTGATATAGGGATGGACTCGGGTCCGAGCCGGGCCTAGGCCCGGGCGGGCCGGCGGGTCAGTAATGGTGGACCCGGGACCGGCCCGGGTAACCACCGGGTCCGGTCCGGGTCCGGGCCGGGCCGGGCCCATTATATTTTTTTTTTGTTTTCCTCTTCCTAATTAACCCCCTCCCACCCCCAACCCCCCAAACCACCCCAAATGGCCCAAAATACCCAGCCCAACCCGAAAACTTAAAAAAAAATTGAAAAAAAAGAAAAAAAAATAGTTTTTGACCCGAACCGGGCCCGGGCCCGGCTGGGTCGGGCCTTGTTTTGGGTGACCCGAGCCCGGACCGGAAAACCCACGGGCCGGGCCTACCCGGACCGGTCACTGACCGGGCCACCGGGTCGGGCCGGGCCGGAACAGTACCGGTCCCGGGCCGGTTCCGGGTCGGGCCACCCGGCCCGAGTCCATCCCTAGTCTGATACTTACCATGGGCCGATCTCACCTTATCACAACTGGTTGAACAAGAGATAATAACTTGGGGGGCTTGGGCCTTCATAGATGACTTCCAAACACGGACTGTTAATGAGCGGTATATATATTTAAATTGAATTTATAAAATCTCAAAAATTAGCTGCACAAATTAGGCAAAACGTGAACAAACAAATATTTGTATAGGTAAAGCAAAAGTAGAGCTCTCAGTTGGGTATATTTATCACACAAGGCATATGCAGTAGACATGTAGAATGGATTATCTAATGAACACTGGTTTCTTGATTCTGACCCCTAAACCTTTTCATCAAACTTAGTGGATCCCAACAAGTCATTTTGTTCAGGCTCAATGCGAGAGGCGGCTGGTTGAATCCGCTCCTTTGGTTTTGATGATGCATTACCATACCAAATCATGCCCGCTATGGCGATAGCCATTCCCACGACAACATGCAGATTGAGACCCTCTCTCCCAAAGAAGGTGAATCCTAAAATCAACACAAGAATTGTCTTCATGTGTCCTAGCACTTGGAATGAAACTGCAGTGAATCTGCTGATGCATATGAATTGGCTGAGATTGGTCCCGATTGCTATTGTACAAGAGAAGGCGATGAATAACTGCATGCAAGTAAAGTAAACCCACCCATTATGGCGTGCTAAAAGAGTTTTTACATATGAAGAGAGAAACAATCATTTAGGTGGAAAGTGTTGTAGTAATTACCACTGAGGTTACGGTGTAGTGATAGGCCGCCACACTCTTATCAGTCAACCATTTGTCTGTGATGGGACCCAACAACAGCAGAGATGCAGCCTGCAGAGGCGCTGTATGCCCTAACAAGTTGAAAGATCCCAGGGTGTACTTTTGTTGAAGATAGTGTACATACTGCATTTAATACAATAATTAAAAAACAGACAGTGTAATGAATCCTTCATCTTGAAAAAATACAGTAAAAAGTGTAATGGTTTAATGACAAAACACTATGGGTGCTCGTCGCCTCGTCGGTACAGTTTTGATAGGTACAATGTATTCCAGAAATGCAAATCCAATAAATGAATCTGGTAACTTGAACCAATTGTTGTTGTCAGATCTAATCTGTCCGGTCAGATTTTAAAACATAAACCTTAAATGCCTATGAAGCTGTGATTTGGCCGACTTTTGGCCGTCTCAGTTTTGGAGGTTCTGTTTGGTTGGTTCGTCTGTCAACTTCAGGGGTTTACTTTGGGGGGGGGGGGGGGGGGGGTTGGGGGGGTTGGGGGGGTTTGGTCGCCTCTGTTTACATTTACATTTACCCCAGTGCCGCAAAGGCTCCCACCTACGGTGGGGTAAGGTGGGGTCGAATGTACGCAGTCTTACCCCCGTACTAAAGTACAGAGAGACTATTTCCGGATGACCCATAGTGAAAATCGCGTCCAAAATTGCATGGACTGACTGCTACTCCATAACAAAGAAGCGCAGACAGTTTAGTGAGCCATTTTGCTTTATTCCATCATAATCTCAAGCCAAAAAATAATGAATCTTTGGCTCCATTGCAAATGATGGAAAAGTTGGTCGCCTCTATAAGATACACAATTATATGGTAATGAAGATCTAAAATACCACGTATTTGAAGAGGGCGAGAAGATGATGACTTACATACTGCTGCAATGCAGTGCTCCAAACAGCAATGAAGGCAGCAATAAAACCTTTTGCATTTACACTCACATCTGTAACTGTACAGATAGCAACACCAAGGAGAACTAACAAAATGCTTAGCTTGGTGTCCCTCGAGTAACGCACACCATCCAACACCACTTCCAATAAACACGAGATAGGTATCATGCTCAGTTTCGCAATCTGCGATAGGAGGAAGAAGAAGGTATTCATTCAATTTTATAGAATGCAATATTGGGTTTGAGTGGCACAACTTGGACCAAACCACACTAAAGATTATCCAATCTGCTAGCTAGTTCAATTCAAAGCCTTGTTAACCAAACAATTTCTCTTGTCTGACGTGGGACTCTAAGTCACCAACACAATTCAATAATATTATTAGTAGATGATAACAGCATCTAAAGTAAATAACTAGCTTGACTCCTCACCTGATAGAACCCTACAGAGTTCCACATCAAACTCACATTCATTCCAACAATTGACAAGTTGGCAAATAATACAAATCTTAGACGCTCAAACCATGGAAGACTGGATTCATGTATATACCCAAGTCTCTTCAGGATAACCGTCATCAATGTAGTGGTGCCAAAGTGAAGTCCGGTCAGTGTTGATGCTGCAAATTAAACAAAAAAGTCATTTCGTTACTCACTCCACTTACAAACCAAATGATTGTTGGTAATAAACTAATAATCGGAGAATATTTCCAAGTAATCAAAATTTCATTTACAGAACATCTTGATTAGTGGGGATTAAAGAATAAGAACATTGGTTACCAAAGCTGAAGCCATAATTAGCCATGAGGGCTTTATTGACAAGTATGATTCCAACAGAAGTAACGATATTAAATGTCCATGCTGCTGAATCAACAAGTGCCTTCTTGTCATGTTTGGCAGAGGAAGACATTTTGCCTCTCATTCAAATATATTAGATCTCTACAATATTCCCATGTCTCGGTGCTCTGTACAAGAAAACACGTTTGAGGTAAGTCTCAAATGAATGAATAATTGTATATTTCCCAATTTCACATAAAAAACACATAGAGCACATGGACATGCTTAGCCAAGCTCTGCCACATTCTTGAGGCACGTGAGGTCATTATCTCAGGCAAAAAGGAAAAAAAAATGTATTTGTGGGGGAGCATATCTTATTCTAATTTAGGTGCATTAGGTACATCACATGTTTTCCTGAAAAAGATCATATGTAGCTTTGCTCGGTTGTTCCAAGATAAATCAAGGTCAAGTGTTAACACTTTATTAGGAGCAGCAATTGAACTATAGTACAAGTACATGCAGTAGAGAAAATAGGCTAATGAATTAGTTGTAAACACGTTCTCATTAATGTAGTTTTAAGTATACCGATCTAATTCCCAGACAATGAGTTAAAAATTAAGAAATTTGCTGGAAAATAATTACCCCATATAAAACAAAAAATTAAAAGATATGAAACGAGCAATTTGTATTTGTATAACTTAAATACTGATCAATGAAATAATATATAAAACAACATACATCAATAGAATAATAGGATAACATCAGCAAGCATACAATTACTAAAATAATTTTTACTTATTTCGAAAATTTTATACTTTTATCAACACAGCTGATTAGCTAAAGTTTATTCATTTATGTATACTGACTTCATAAATATTTAGCAGCTAAAAATGTAAGACATGTTTTTTATTATTTATATAATGTATTTGGTCATGTTACACTACGTAGTATTATGTAAAAATGGTTTGAATATTGCACATTTACACCGACTTGATTATTTTTTTAAAACTCCATTCATGTAGTTCAAAAAGATCAAATCACAAAAAACGACATATAGGGGCACTATCCTGAAAGTTACAATAGTTGGGATCGGCCCTGCTGTTAAGGATTCAGAATTTCAGACCAAACAAGCCAAAAAACGATTTTGAATGTGAAAAAAACTTGATCAGAGTACATACACATTACCTTTCATAAAAATCTAATGGTTTTTGAGATCTATACGGCAGAAAGATTACTATGATTGGAAAAGATTCAACCAAAACAAAATCAGGTCTAAATGGAAAAGACAATGTCGGAAAACTACTAGTCAACCATATGCAAAGAAAATCCAACTACTCAGTCAAACATAGCCCCCCGCCGCAGATCATTGAATTCAATCCAGAAAATTGATATTCTGATCTTGAAATCAATCCACAGAAGCTGAACTAGATTAGTTTCAAGGAACCACAAGAAGAACCGAATAAACTCATCTGGTTCAGGAAACGATTCCAGATCCTCATACATATACTAGAAAAATAGCAGTATATCATTCCAGTTCATTCCCAATAGCACTCCAAAAATAGCAAAAAAAAAATCATGAATGAATAACCGACAACAATCAAAACCAAATCAGAAAATCAAGAAGAAGAAGAAACTACCTGGCTCCGGTTAGGCATCGCGAATGGTTGTTGAAATCGTGAAGCTCATATATAGTACTTACTTATTACTTGCCAGGAATACGTATATTATAAGCCGTATAAATGGGGAAAAGGGGAAATGGAGGGGAAAAGAATGACAAACACGCCGTTTGCGTGATTTCTTTCCTAATTTAAGGTTTGCGCCATTGTCATTTTTCGTGGTCATTTCAACCCCTCTCTCTCCACCTAACAGCCTATCCCACGTAGCACTACTTATTATAGGATGATAGAGATCTCCGATTTAAAAACGTGAACGACCCATACGTGTCATTAGAAATAGTCAATTAAAAAATACCGAATAGAATATCTTTCCTTATTTGAACGATATTATATGTTTTTGGTAAGTTTTTCTCTACAATGTCAAACACAATGCCTAGATGTAGACATTGTGGTTGACAATGTTAAAAAAAACTTACCATAAATGCACAAAATCGTGGGAAGAATGAGAGAAAAATGTCATAAATTTAATTATTTGTGTTTATCTCTCTCATGTCACATGTGTATTATACACATTGTAGCATTGGAGATGCTCTTAAAATAAAATTATTATACATGTAATAATAACTAATAAACTAACGGGAGTAATGGGCTGTCGTCTTTTCTTATTATTAGTAATCATTTAAATGCGACGAGAAATCATTTGGCCGTCCAATGTGCCGTGATTGTTGATTATTTTTGAGTTGGACTTGGGGTACACACTTTTTACACATGTCTGTATAAGGTTTTTTTATGTCTGTACAGACATAAGGTATTTTAAAAATACGCTATGTCTGTACAGACATAAAAAAAAACTTACACAGACATGTGTAAAAAGTGTGTGCACAAAGAAGTGTGTACCTTTAGAAATTTTCTCATCTTTTTTAAAAAATTGGAGAGTTACCTTGGGAGGCTGAGAGCATAAGGGCATAAGGCCCATAATTTAATGTACATAAGAAATCATGTGCAACGTTTTCGGTACAAAAAGTTATATATATATATATATATATATGTGTGTGTGTGTGTGTGTGTGTGTGTGTGTGTGTGTGTGTGTGTGTATATATATATATATATATATATATATATATATATATATATATATATATATATATATATATATATAATAGTAATAGCATAACGATATCAGTGGTAGATGATTGGAAATAACACATAGGGAGTATAATTAATAGGTAGTACGGAGAACTATCAAATAAGCTCTTGAACTTTCATAAAAGTGCAAATAAGCCTTTTAATGGGAGAATTTGTCCGGCTGTCGCCATATGGGGTGATTTTCGGTGGAATTTTTCGATAACATTTTTTGAACATATTCTTCATTAAGTCTAGTTTACTCATACCAAATTTCAGCTAAAAATTCAATCGAGAAGGCAGTGAAATGATTTTCTGAAATATACTGTGCTATCTAACTACGCAGTTATATTCAAAAATTCATTTGACTGCCTTCCCGATTTATTTGTTAGCTGAAATTTGATATGAGTAAACTAGACTTAATAAAAAAGATGCTCAAAAAATTCCACTGGAAACCACCCCAAATGGCGACAGACGAACAGAGCCTCCTATAAAAGGGCTTATTTGCACTTTTTGTGAAAGTTCGAGGACTTATTTGGTAGTTCTCCCATAGGTAGTATTATCTGATAGTTAAAGGTAAACAGCATGTTACAATTAAGTGACCCATCTGTTGGCTACTAGTACTATCAATTGTCGGGACGACTGGTGGGTGTTATTATATGGTGCCACGTAGACGGTGCTATTATCTCAACTGTCATGACCGTTTCAAAGAAAATCGGTGACATCGGAGTTGTTCATTGGTGGGATCTAGATTTTCCGTTTGGATCTAGATCCTCAGCGCTGTCGTGCCAAGTTTACGGTCAGGCTCACGTATTCCCTTCCAGGATGGCGATTGTGGGCTTATGCAACAAGCTCGGCTCCTAAACTCCGTTGTGCCCAGATGACGGTCGGGCTCCCCCATTCCCTTTCAGGATGGCGACCGCCGCCGTATGCAGCACGCTCGCCTCCTCAGCTCCGTCGTACCCAGTTTACGACCAAGCTCGCCCATTCCCTTCCGATATGGAGACAGTCGTCTTATGCATCACGTTCAGCCCCGCGGCGCCATCGTATCCGGTGCAAATGATATACATCATATCTGATACATCACATCTCAACATTCATGCATACACACATACATTTGTTCATCTTTCCCATATCATTCAACGTATCTGTGCATGAGCCTCTAAGCGCCTCAGATAGCAAAGGGCATTATACGGGGGTCTAGTGCTACCCGAGTTAGAGTCTTTTCTCCTCGCTTGATACAGTCAGGGGGAGAAAACCCAAGTGAGATCATCCCTCACCCAATTTAGTCGGGAGGGAGACGTCTCGGCGATATATTATGTTCAAAGGAGCAAACGCTCGTTCATCTAACAGGATTACTCGAAGACACATATTCAAGGAAGACAAATGAAGAGCGCGAGCAGGAATATAATTTCTTGACCAAGTTCGCACGCTCACTGCTCAAAAAACTGGGAGTCTTGTGTTGGGATATATTATCCCGGTCTACTACTGTAAGGAGCCCAATGCATTGTCCCCATTACAGAGCCCGATCAGTGTGGTTCATCTCGGCCCATCAGGCCCTTTCTAGCCCATCCGCCCCATTTTGGCCCGCTTCAGCCCATTAGGGTATATTTTAGCCCATCCCATTTCTCCATAAATAGGAGGTTTTCCCTCCATTTTTGGGGATCCCCTTTTCTCTCTCTCTAATTAGTCTCCATCTTCTCTGCCCTCCCCTGGGCCGGTCCTGCCCATTTTTCGGCCTATGGGCGACAATTGTGTTGCTTAAAAAACTACAACTGGTCCTACTTAAAATTAATGTATTAGGTTTTTAAACCTGGCTTCGTTTAAGATATTTTACTTATGTTCTATTTGTTTCAAACTCTGAATAAAAATTAACATTAGGTCTAATTATTTGAACTTAAAAATAAAAGAAGCCTACTCATATTATATATACAACAACAACAACATCCAAGCCTTAATCCCAAAAGAATTTGGGATCGGCTAACATGAACCGATCTATGATATCGATGCCAAAAAGAGAAGGTGGACAAGAAAAGAAAAAAAAAGTAAGATAGAATGAATAAAACAAAGATACATAAATATAAGATAATAATAACACAAGAATATAACCAAGATAAAAGAAAAATAAATAAAAGAACGTAAAAAAGCTAGAAGATAAAAATAACATAAGAATATAAAAAGATAAGGAAGATAAACGATAAAAGAAACAAGAGAGGAAAGGTAGACAACTCATATTATATATATGCAGAAAAAATTGGGCCTATTTTCCTCTCTCTATAATTTCGGGCCTAGGGTGGTCGCGCCTTGTTTCCCCCTTAAGGGCCTGCCCTGACCCTCCCCTTCTCTCTAGAATAGCTTAAGAACTCCATTAATGGGAGCTTTGTACAATGTAATAATGTGATGAGAGACTAATAAATTGGGAGTGGCTTGGACATTAGTCCAAAAAATGTTGTGGTTTTCTCTCTTTCAGTTTTCCACGTAAAAATCAATATTCATACACATGTGTATCTATATTTACTATTTCGCGTTGGATTAGTTTCAACACTATCTCAATAACATTATAAATTAAAGTTGGTGCCACCAAAGAGAATGAATTGATGTCACTACTTGAAGTTATGCTTCTCATCCTTTTAGGGTAGGTGCATCCTGGCCTCTGGGTGATAACGTTTGTTGCATAGTGACCTGTTACAATGCATTCTGCAACCGGCTAAAATCGAAGGAAGAAGAAGCTCTCCGGCTTCTCAATTTGGGTCTTCTAGATAATGTTTAAATTTTGTGTTATATCTTTAAAATGACAGCTTTGGAAATCTAAAGATATTTATTTATTATTTATTAACTTGTGGTTGTATATACTATAACAAAGATTGTGGTTATTAATTTCATGTACTTCAAATATTGCCTACGACTACATCCCTATTTTTAAAGTAGTTATACTCCATAAACACTATGTATGGGGCCTTTTATGATATTCGACTCAAGCTCGAGTTATGTAGGATCACCATTATTGGGTGACACTCTAGTGCATTATATGGCTCAAATTACTATGGTCCTTCAAATTTTCTACCATTCAGTATTGTTAATCAACGGTCACTGCGTTATAAATCTTATCTTTAAAAACATGAAGTGTATAATTTTAAATTTTGTAGAACTTTTCATTAATAAGTTTGGCATATAGTTTTTTGTACTTTAAATCGATCATTCTTAAGAAAATTCAAATCCGATATTTTTATACATCTTTGTCATATATATGAGATCATTCGATGAAAATGATGTTTAATATGTCAAACGTTACTCCTTGGTCTTAAAACCTTTAATGCAGTTAGTTAACTTTCACTTTTATTTGAACGGTTAGTGTGATAAAACTATACTAGATGGGAGATGATGGAATATGTGAGATCATAACAAGAATGAATTTATTACCTTTAGAACCCGGAAACGGTCTCATGAAGTCAATGCCCCAAACATCAAATACCTCACAATACAATATAAAATTCTGGAGCATCTCATCCCTCTTGGTAACCGCCCCGGTGCGTTGACACCTGTCACATTCCTGCACAAAAGTTAGAGCATCTTTAAACAAAGTGGACCAGAAGAACCCACATTCCAAGACCTTATGGGCTGTCCGGTTGAAGGAATAGTGTCCCCCGGTCGGTCCGGAGTCACAATGTTTAAGAATTTCAGCTCCTTCACAAAGGGGAACACATCTTCTAATAACCTGATCAGCGCAAATATGAAACAGATATGGTTCCTCCCGGAAATAATACTTCAGATCAGCAAAAAAAATCCTTCGTTGATGAGGTGTATAATCAGAAGGAACAACACCCCCAACAAGATAGTTGGCGATGTCAGAGAACCAAGGCACCACATCAACGATACACAACAGTCTATCATCAGGAAAAGTACCATCAATATCTCTCTCACTCAAGGAATCAAGAAAGGGGTTCTCTAACCTACTCAAGTGATCAGCTGCTAAATTCTCAACCCCTTTCTTATCCCTTAACTCAATATCAAACTCCTGGAGTAGTAATATCCACCGAATCAATCTAGGCTTAGCATCCACTTTTTGCATCAAAAATTTAAGAGCGGAATGATCGGTGAATATCACTACCTTAGACA